TGAATTAATACTTACAGATTCATCAGAAGAGGATGTCAAACATTAGTAGTTTCCATGGAAGTCTGAGGTTTAACGAAGGAATTTTAATCTACTCTGTGTCATATCACAAGATGCTGAAGTTACAGTTTTCCATATGCGTATCTACATCTTTGCATGAAGGTGGTATGAAACCTCCCTCCCCTGCGTGGGGGTGGTTTGTGACCAGTTCTAGGAAGGTGAGCACAGCTGGACAAGGGCTTCAGCTGCCATAAAAGCCCCAGGGTCTGTGCAAGGAGAGACACTGCTGGGATATCTACCTTCTCACAGGTGGACAGCATGCTCTCAACCTGCCGGAATCGCTTCACCACAGCTTCATAGATGTGAAGGACACAGAGGTTTGTTTGCTTCCTCCCTTGTTTAAAAAAGAGGTAGTACAGTGGTTCTGTTTATTTTTTCATGGCAGAGCTGTATTAAAGTTCACGTACTCCCTGAAGGTCTGAAAGACTTGCTGAAATCCAGAGTGCTCTGGGTCTTGTCTTGTGTGTGCATGCCATGTGATTAGGCTTAACACAGAGGGTCACAGACCGAGCAAAGACTACAAGTCTGCTGGCTCGTCAGTAGTGACAGCTGTCTGTGAGAGAGACCCATCCAAAATCCACTCCTCCCCTTGCTAAGAGGGAGCTTACAAAGAGCTACCTTGCTCTCTTTCTTCAATCCTGACTACCTCACAGTTCTACAACATGTGCATGGATGACTGGGATGCAGAGCTTTTCCTAGCAGCTTTCCAGCTGGGAAATACCTTATTTGCTCTCTGTGGTTGGGGCAGGGCTGCTTGCAGCTTGGGAAATGCTGAGGGAGACTGAAGTGTCCTTGCCCTACATCTGTCACTGCTTAGCCTCCAGCTGGGTAGACAGGTACATAGGATTGATTCGGGGCATTTTTATGCTGCTTTCAAGATCTTAGTATAATCTAATGCAGCTCCACTGTCAAGTTTTTGCAAATGCAGCCTGACTTTGAGATTATTTACGGCCTGGCTAGCTGGATGTTATCCTTCCTGTCTTCCTTCTTGTAATTCCCAATAATAACCTCTTATCTCAGTATTATACAATGAAAAACCACTAGATTGGCAACAATAAAATGAATAACAAGTTATTGACAGTAATTATTCTGCAATTTATCTCCTCTGCTTCACTTTATCTGATGTTTATTTTTTCTGATCCAACCTTTTGTTCACTTGTTTTCTTGATTGAGTGAAAACATCCTTAATGGCTTTTTCTTGTTCAGAAAATAAACTTTTTTAGCAGAAAAAGAAAGGCTGATCATAGAACAGCTTTCACTGACATATCTGTTGTGACTACTTTATAGTCTGCAACATATGTGTGAATAATATGTAAAGTAATACCACTAATAATAGGGTCTCCTACAAAAGCAAGGTAAGCAAGGTCTACGATACATTTGAAAAATAAATAGGCAATGCCCTGTAGAGTAATAATTTGCCACAGAGTATCAGGGTAAGCTCAGTAAACCAGCTGGGACAAATCTAACAGTTGGTATGGAGTACTGCTGATATATCAGGGAATGCAGCCCAGTAGGAACAGATCTGTGGACTAAAAGAGCTGAACTAAATTACTAATGTAGACACTCACCATGACCAAAGAGAGGAAACAGAGCAACAAAAAATGAGGAAATATATTAAATCTAAAAATAAATAGCCGAGCTTAAATTATTGCAGCATGTAATGAAGATTTTGCTGTTCTGGATGACAGAACGTCATGTTGCAGTGATTTCATTAAAAGAAAGTGTCAAATGCGCAGTAGCAGTGGTACTTCAGGACATCTTAGAATCCCCCCAGGCTATTTTGTTTAGATTTTCTGGCACCTGTTCTGAAATTAGGAAAGTCCTGAAATCAGGAAATGCAAAATAATGTCCTATCACTAGAGTTCCAGATATGTAGTCAACACAAGTGAAGTGAAAAATGAAGCCACTTAACACATTCAATACTGGGGACATGATTCTAATTTCCTGAAAAAAAACAACCAACCACCCCATAACAACCATCAACCTCTAATTCTATTTTCTGTTCCACACAGTCTTATATTTTATTTACAACCATGGTCTCTGAGCAACTTTCTGTGTTGCCTAAGTGATATGTCTACCATTTGTCATCTATTTGTTTTGTTCTGCAGAGAAACATGGACAGCGGTATCTCTTTTTTTTTTTTTTTTTTGTTTGATTACTAAGGGATTTTTGTTTCATCTTTTGCATACAAGATACTATACACTTCTTAGGGGACAGTGAAGATGCTAGGAGATGCTAGGATTCATGACTGCCTGTAACTCCATGGAAAACCTACTTAGACAAGCCCATGAGTAAGTTCTATCCATTGAGGGAAAAAAAAAAAAAAACAAACAAACAAACAAAAAACCACAAACAAAATAAAACAAAATAAAAACAAAACAAAACAAACAAAAAAAAAGCAAACATAAAAACCTAACAAACACTAAGAATTACTGTTGAGTATTTTATCAAGCTGAAGTAAAAGGCTTATACTTTTGTGGGTGGGTGAGTATCTGAATATACATTACCTGGGAGGAGAGGGAGAGAATTGCAGAGCTTTGTGGGAGATTAGGCTGTTAAAAGGAGTCTGTAATCTAACAGTTACCACTTTTTTCCTCGGTCATGATTCTCCTTATGCTTTTCTTCTCGGGTTGCTGCTACCTCAGGGCTGAAAACAGGAATGATGACACTGCGATGAAATTCTCATATCTGCCTTAAAGAAGACTCATTCAGCTTGTCTCTATTTGCTAATCTTCCACAACCATGCTAGGCAATCAGAGCAGCAGGGAGAGTAGTGGGGAAGGTGCAGAAGGGAAATGAGAATAACCAGGTGCTCGAGGCACTCTCTGACCAGCTGCACACAGCCAGCATTTCCAGCCCATGAAGCAAGGACTGAGAGGTGGGTCTGGGCCGTGTTGAGAATCTGGAATGAGCAATGACTGCTGCTGAGCTTTTAGATGAAGAAGGGCATGCTCTGGGAGTTTGTGTGCTGAAATCACTCCAGCTCTTCAGCTTGCAAATGCTAAAACAAGAACTCCCTCAGCGGAGCAGTGAGCGATGCTCAACCTATCTGCTTTGGAGAACCAGATAACTACAGACCTCTGGAGCTTCTCCCTCATGCAGCCTGCCATAAAGTTGAGCCGGCTTGCTAAACTTTACCACATCATTTATGTTTACCCCCCCTTTTCTGAGCCATGTTGCTTTGTTTTGGTGAGCTGGCAGGAAATGGAAAATCTGTGGAGGCTTCTTATATGTTTCCACAGCTGCCTAGTCACAAATATGACATACTGTAATAGAGTTTTCATAAGGACTAATCCTTGCTGTGACAATACTGCAGTAGCCAACTCAAGTTTGCTCTGGATTTTCCACTGCTGTAATCTATTTCTCTCTGAAAAGTAGCTCTTCTGAGGATGTTTTACGAGCACCTGATTCATCAGGGCTATGGGATGCATTAGGCACCTATCAAGCACATGTAAGGGAAGAATAATGTGGAAAGAGAAACCAGTTACATGTGCTCTGAAGGAGAGAGTCTAAACTCAATATTAAACAACGCTGAGCCAGACCTGTTCCAATATCATTTTCATGTATGCACTTAGTATTTAGCAGTAAAATAGTGTGGCTTACAACTGGCTGTGCTGGCACCATTTTGGAGTCCTGTTATTAATAGCTTATGTGAAAGGCATTAAAATTGACTATGGAAGTATTTTTAAGGACAAAAGTGTTCATGTGCTAAAAAGCACATGATGGAGAACCTGATCAGCTGGAATGTACTTCGTTTATGATGTGAAAGTCTCACCTAGTGTTGCAGGTTTGGAAGAGTAGACTTTCTGCACCAGAAATTTTGTCATCTCGTTTTTCTGTCTGTCCTCAAAGAAAGTACAAGTTTTGCTTCTGTTTATCAGCAAATGTGGATCCTAGATCTTAGCTATGATTTAGGAAAGGTCATGTGGATCCTAGTTCTTATCTGTGATTTAGAAAATGTCTTGTTCTTCTTTTTGTGAGTAAAAATTCCTGCCAACACATGAGCCAATGTTTAGATTTAGAAGAAATAAACAATACTGGAAGGTAATAAAAAAGAAGGGAGAAACTAGTTAGTTTAAAGCTCCGGTAGCAACTGATTTTTCATGTGATACTTAAAATAACACCACTTTCAACCCCTTGTCCTCCCTGCAGACTTTACTTCCTTGATCTGAATAGTATTAACGTGCAAAATTGTCCTGGTGTCATGAACTGTTCTTCTTCTCCCCTGTTGCATTTCTACCTCTTTGTGTTATGTCCCAATACATCTCCTGGTTATGTTGCTATGTTAGGAATGGTCTAATAAGTGGTAGCCAAAGCACTGGAGGGAAGGAAAACAACAGCAAAAAGCAAACAAAACCCCTGTAACATTTTCCCCTGGTAGCTGGTTTTGTACGTTTTCCTCTGCAACACTGGAAGAAAGCTTCATAGCAGTGTAGCTTACCAGTTCCTTTTTGGGTTTTGTTTTTTGTCCCCCTCATCTCTTAGTCATCTTTTCATATGTGCACTATAATTTTGTTCTAGGAAACCTGCCTGTTGATAATGGCAGCTAGGCAAAGCCTGGAAAATTATCTTCCCTCTCTTTAAAAGAAACCCCTAGCTCACGGGGAGTTGTAAATATACAAGGACTTGTCAGTCATTCTAGCCCAATTCTTCCATTAAAGGACTGTAAATTTCAAGGCTACTGTTATTGTTGGCTAGTTCTCTGAATTATTTGAACAAACAAGTAGATCCTTGCACCTAAATCCTTGAAGTTGAATTTTGAAACTGGTGACTAGTACTGCAAGGGAAACATCTTTTAATTCCCTTTTCTTCAGTTATGACACTCTTGATGCATTTGCTTTTTCCCCATCAGGTTACTTTTTGAAATATAATATGTTGTTGTTGTCAGTATAGAGAGACTGTGAATAGATCTGAGATTTGCTACTTACTTGAGAAGGAGACAGACTGTATATTCTCATTCCTGTAAAACCAGGTTTCAGTTGTCCTGATCACTTGCACTAACTCTCAAAGGGGCACTTTTACCAGTATGGAGGAGGTCACAGTCAATCAAAATCAAACCCATCTGGAATGCAGAGCAGGGTTTAATGTTAATACCTGCAGGATAGGGGGTGGATGTGAAAGGTCTGCAACACTTGTGATTTATCAGGAAAGCAAGAGAAGTGCAATCTGACTTCAGAATTGGGAAGGCACTGATCCTCACTGAGCAGTGTGGGGGTCTTTCTGGCTCAAAAGCTGTCATGAAATCAAATGGCAAGGGGATTTCTTGTGCATTTAATCCAGCTCTGCTAAACATGGTTTTCATTTTGTAAATGTAGGCCAGCTCTTAGAAACAGACCAGAGGTCTTCTGCATTTTAAATAATTAATTTTCTACCTGTTTATTTTCTAAACTCATCATAAAGTGGCCTCAGTGAAGCATCATGGAAAGAATTTTGCAGTTTGTTTGTGCACCACTAACGTAGGAGAAATTTATGTGAGAGTATAGAGAGCAAGGAGGGACAAAGAAAGCAAAATGAGCCTTTGACACTTAAAAAGGGATGGCAGGTATGTGATGAGTGGTGCAGTGCACGCTGAATCCTAAGGAACACCTGTGAGCATTGTAAATTGAGTGGAAAAGCTACATGTTGGGCCAAGACGGTGCATAATTGGAACCCTGGAATGTATTTGTGCAGTCTGCAGCAGGCGCACAAAAATATGTGGACTTGGCAAAAGCAGTCAGTAGCGTCAAATAATTATGAAATACTTGAAAGCCCCAGGTAAATAACCTCTTCAGAATTGGCAGGCATCAATGGGTCATTATTTATTTTGTTATTTCCTTCTTTATATGGTGAGCCGTCGCAAATTCCTGGTAGAAAATTCAGTCAGACAGACAGGGGAAAATGCAATCCGCAATCCAAGCAATAAGAACAAAAAGAAGAATGGCACTTACAAATTTTCCTACAAACTCCACAGTCCTTTCTAATTCCAATCTGCTAGAAAGGATTTAGCTGAGTAACTTGGCTGGGTGAAGTGTAGTTTTTACAAGTCTAACACAAAAGACCAATACATTTGATTTGGTGGATATGTAAGCTATAACAATAATATTCAGCAAATTCAATTCTTTAATCATTGTGACCATAAGAACCAAGTGTTTGTAATGTTCTCAGGACATGTAGAGAGTAATTACATTGGATTTTAATAAGACTTGCTGTGAATTGTTGACCAATGATTCACTACGGGAGGGAAAAATTAATTAAATTTTAATATGAAAAGTTATTGTTAATTAAAAGTTGTATGAAAAGCAGCCATAAAAAGTAGGGAAGCTAGACAGCTTTTGAAATGAATAAAAGGGCATATAAAAGGAACGCATAAAATATGCTTTTGGCTTGGAGCTTACCTTACAGGATATATACCTGAAAAGACATATCCATGTGCAGATTCTCTTCTCCAGACTTGAAAAATCTGTCCCAGGAAGATGCACACCCTGTGACAGATGATAGTTTGAATTCATGGATGTAGAGATAGGAGTGGGCTGTGGGATCAGTGGATATATCGGTTGCAGGAAGGATGTTTACTTTCACACCTTTTTGTGTGTTTGCCTCTGTGGAACTTACAAAGAAAAAGACGGTGTCCGCTGATCAACCAGTGTGGGAACACAGACACGTGGAAACGATGTCACTGCAGCTTCAAGGTGTATTCCAGCCCCACCACCTCTGCCTCTGCCTTCATCCATGTTTCCCATCCCCTGGGCAGGCTCTGCTTGCTGCTCCTCGCAGCGTCCTTTTTACAGGACTTGTAAAAGGCCCTCCAGTTATGTGGAAGCTGGAGAGAAAATGCCAGAAACAAACTTAGGCACAGATCCCAAAAGTGACCGAAGTACAGTTTACGGCTCTCAATGAAAAACTGCAATCCTCAGGACTGCAGCTGTGCGGCCACCCAGCTCCACTGTACCCGGGCTGCTGCAGGTCCCTGGCACAGAAGGATCTGCTTTTGGGCACGATTGGAACATGTAGGAGATGTGGTTAAGCAGTCCAGAGCTCGGTTCATGCCCAAACCTGATTAGAATCTACATTTTCTTCCTCCTCTCAGAGATTTGGACACTTTTGCAACAGCTACCTGATCAACATTAATGTAGAAGATAGAAATAACATGATTTTTTTCTGGATTTTTAGGGAGAGGATTATTGTGAGGGGAATTTGAGCTAAGTGGGAAGCTTTTTGTGAATCTTGTTCCTAGGCACCTTCTTTCCCTACATGTTGTATTTTCACTCTAGTCAGGGTTGTGGACAAACCTTGGACGACCAAGCACCATACATTAAATAATTCACCACCACCACTATGGCAACTAAGCCTCTTTAGACTCCAGACGTCAGCATTTTCCTTCACAACAAACCTGTGAGGGATCAGTAAGTTCTCAAGGGGGGGGTGGGGGGTGTCTCATCAGGCTCCTTTAACAGACTGCTTTCTCCTTTTACAGTCTAGAGATTCATGGGTCTTAAGTCACTTCATCATATGTGTCTCATTCAGGTCATTATTGTGAAATCAGCAGGGTTAAATCACGCATTACAAACTGCTTTTCCTTAATCATCAGTTTATCCAAAGGGCTGACAAGTGAGCTATTGCACTGAATAATCCAATGCCCATTTTCCCCTCAAAGATTAGGATTTATTTACTTGTAACTGACAAGCATCTACTATCTCATTATGATGGTATTTGTGCAAAGAAAAATTTAAATTCTTCCCCATAATATGGTAAACTCCTATGAAAACACCGTCTTAAATTTTCAAATAAATGCATCTGTATATCTGTATAGTCGGCTTTAAAAAAAATCACAGTTCAGTGGTCTGAAATATATTGGAATATAACACATTATTTGTGGTGTAAATGCTTTACAGTAAAATATTACTCACTTAACTCTATCAGGAGGTCAGTGACCAAAAGTGGAACTATAATTGTAGTCTAACTAAGATTCATTTTTCCAAACAAAAAAGAGCTTGAATTTCTTCCCAATGCTCAATATTCCTTAAAGGGCAAATACATAATTAGAATTAAATTGCAATTTTAATTTAGCTTTGTGAACACTGTACTTGCAGTTCTAAAAGAAACTCATGTGGAGCTTTTAAAAGATACTTGCAGAATCCTGTACCTCTTGATTGCTGAAAGCGTCTCTAAATATTAAATCAATATACACATATGTATGACCTTTCAAAGAGCAGTTTGTATGTCATTCTCCGTAGCTCCATGAAAATGTTCCAGATAAAATGTCAACAGTGGGATGTTTTCTTGCATATCCATAAATCAAAAGTTATGCTTGCTATGCAGTGCTGTGAATATGGTGACCTGAGCCGTACAAGCATAGCTGCACCAACAAATTATAACATTAACCAAAAGTAACAATTTATTTTATCACTATTCTATTGCCTAAATTACATAATTGTGTGACTATTAATTATTAATTTGAAGGCAAATTATTTCTAATACTATAATTCCCTCATAAATAATTAAAAAAAAAATAAGGGAAGCACTTGCACAAAAATTAATGATTGGTCCCTAATCACTGCACACTGCCCTACAGCTATACAATTACATCTAATTTACTCATCAGAGCACTGCAGTGCCAAAACAAAGCTTTGGAGCAGGTAGCCACCCAAGCTCTGCCTTGTCCTCCCATCCCTTGCCCACTTGCTCTGTGAACACAAACAGCTTTGTATTGGCACAGGGACTGCAGCCTCAGAGACTAGTTGTGAATGGGGACTTTATCCCAGAAATGGGAAGATAGGGGAAGGGAACGTGTATCTTTTCAGCAATGTTTTGACATTAGCCTTTGAGACTTTTTTGTTCCTGAATCGTGCAGGACCCTGAACCAAGTTCTCATTTTGCCTGGTTCTGTACAATGACTTCAAACCATTCATACCTGTTCTTCACTGGCAATGAACTGTCAGCCACTACACCCATTTTTGTTGTAATTCTGCATTTAATTGTAATTATACTTCTTAATTTGACAAGCACCTAAACATCTACAATCTATTCACTTATCCTGTGCCTATAATCAATAATTCATTCTCTGAATAACTCCATAAAAATGGCAAGGATGATGAATATTTTCTTTCTCTCTCAGTTTAAAATAAAATCCATATTAGTTTCATCAACCGGCAATTATTAATGTACCTTACTTAACCAGGAATTGATTTGATTCTGACAAGTTCTTAATGTCTTTAAATTGTGGTAAATAATTGCTATCCATATTCAGCAGTTTAGTATACCAACATAAGCTGGTCTTATTTTAATGGAAGACATAGATGTAAAACCTTGCAGAATATTGGGTAAAAGCCTTCAATTGCAGACAGTCATTTATTTTGCTTTATGCTTGTGCTGGACTGGGTGTATGGGCAGCTACAGCAATAAATGGAGGATAAACAAAGCTTGGGGCTCAAAACTCAGAAGCAAAATCAAGCCGCAGATTCTTAGGTTAAGATTCAAACTTAATATATATGAAACATCTCATCCCTATTTCTATTTTTATTTCCTAATAATCTGAAAATTGTTATATAAATGCCTACTTTTTAGAAGTCCTCACGGGTTTGGCATATCTATTAATAATTCAGGAGTTTGAAAGGATAGCTTGTCAGTGACATTAGCTTGTCATAAAATTGGTACATTTTATCTTATGGATATGGCTGTATTACATATACCTCATATACACAGTATAACTTCTGTGGTAGATATTTAGCTCAGCTGTTTAGGCTTCTTTGTTTAGAACCTTCCCTCTGTAAAAACCTGTGAAACAAAGCGGAAAATACTGATAATAACTGTGGACAGAGGGACTCTGAGTAGAATAGGTCTTATCTGAAATGTAGAATGGCTGTGGAATAATTTAAGGAATTTAGTTTGTTTGGGAAATGTAGTAAGTTTAAAGATCTCATGGCTTTTAATTTCACTATTCTCTTCCATTTTTGACTGATACACAGCTCCACTTCACTGTCCAGTGATGGATGTTTTCTGTTCATACAGATGGTATTAAACTGCCCAGACCTCAGAAAAATAACAACGATAAAAAAAAAAAAAAATCCTGTTTCAAATTCACAGAATGCAGGTAGAGGTCTGCCACATGGATTTAGTAATTTGTTTATTTAAAATTGCACTGCAAGCATGAATTTCAGCCATCCTGCTGGAGTAAATTGTACTAAAGTGGGCTACAAGCGTTGTTTAGGCCCCAGACATAAGCCTCTTCCCAGTAGGAAAGCTTACACAAGCCTGCTGGAAAAAATGCTTGTATTCAACAACAAATCTAAATTCACATTGAGTAGTAAACCTTGGAATAGTCTGAAATGATGAACAAACAGTCACTTGAAAGCACATATTGTAGAAATATCCCATAAAGATACAGGAGCGTACATTAATCATGTGAGCTAGGACAATGGGTGACCTTTTCTAATAAGAAATGAAGCATCTAAAGCAGCCATTAGATTTTGCAGCAGCCCTATTTACTGTACGTCTGTGGCATTCATCATTGCACGATGTAAATGTCCTCAGACTGCTGACGTTTGCCAATCATCCTTCACTGAGAGGAAAATTGATCTGAAGCTTTTAGAGCACCACTCCCCAAATTCTGGCAATGCCAAGGCCATTATAGCTCCTTTTCAGCCTTAAAATGAACAAAGAGCAGCTGTTGAGCAAACAAGGTTAACAAAACTTGGAAAAGCATTAGCACTAATTCGTTTTTAGCACTTTTCAAAGCACAAAAGTTGAAAATGAATGTCTGAGATGGGCCCACCACTTTTCCAGGAGTCAAATCTAGGAAGTCATTGGTAAGACATCTAGGCTTCTGCTTTTAATAAAAATTCTTGTGCTTGAAGATCTAATTCATGTAGCATTTTTAATAAACAGAGGCTGTTATGTACTGAGATGTAGTCACTGCTTTAAGCTTTGGAGTTTAGTTCCAAAGTCTGGACAGAGATGATAATTAGAAATGCTGTTGAATAAAGATACATAATTCAGTGGCCAGGGAATGAGTTCTCTTGTTGGGCTTGTGAACTCTTACTGTCACTTTGAAAACTTGGGTGTCTACTACTCCTTCAAGACCTAGTTTCACTGGCACATTTCTTTTAGCTACCCTATTAGAATCCTCTGCTTTTGAAATTAGCCTCAGGCCTTCTCAGCTTCACAGAAAAATTATGTTAAAACAGCAGCTAAACTTCTGCAGATCAAGCAGGGGCCTTGAAACCATCTGTGGGTTTTCTCGGTTTATTTTTTCCCTTGTTGATCTGCCCGGCTCTTAACAAATAGCCTCCTGCTTCTGATTAAGAAGCCACCACTTGGACACCAGTGCCCTCCACAGACCCAGCTGTGTCTTGTTTCGCATCAGCACTGAGCCGCTGGTGGCAGACCAGGTTATAAAACATTAGGCTTCACTAGGTGCCAGAGAAGTTTCATGCTGGCTTAAGTACAGAGGGAGTTCTTTGCCACTGATGGAAGATCTGATTATGGCTACTAACAGGTGAGCCCTTGGTGCTATTACTGTTTTAGTTTGCATGGCATTTGATGCAGCTGACTTGTCTGGGAGATTGGGGAGATCTTGTCCCTTTCAAAGTGCCTTCTTCCATTTCTCTCTGATGATTCTGATGCAGTCTGTTAGGGACTTTCCCTACCTCCTCACCCAACAGCTCTCACGTGGAAAGCTTCTGTTAAATGCCATGTTTCTTCATTTCAGTGAACATGTATGTAATACTGTGTCACAGAAGATCATGTCCCTTTATAGTGTCTTCAATGTCAAACAGGAATGATCCTCTAATTCAGTGAA